TTTACACAACAGCTTGTCATTTTTGTCTCTACACGGTCTCGCATTTTACAATTCTCCTCTGTTCTTTGTATCGTGCATGGAGTTCCTCCCCGATGACAGGTGAGCACACTCCCACCAGCGGACAGAGAGCGTGCGTCAGAAAATGTGGTGTCAACCACCTGAAAAGCAGACAAAAATATCTGCGTCTTTTTAATCGCTCCCAGGCCTTAATTGTCATAAAAAGAAATGTCGATGTTTAGTTCAGTTGTTATATTGACTGCTGTCATTAAAAGAAACACATGAACGCCATAAATCCTGTTGGTGTCATCCTGCCCCCCCCCCCCCCCCAGCTGTAAACCGAGGGGAAACACCGATAATCATTTTCATTTAAGTTTAAATCACACCTCTATAAGTTTAAGTGAAATTTGTGTTAAGTCTTTGCTTTAAAAATACCTCAATATTACAACAAAATCACATTTTGAATTCTGAAAATTTCTCAATAATATGATGCCCTAGTGCATGCTTTGTTAATCTCTTGACAGGCCATTCAGATGTATCTGTTCCTCAGACCAAATCACAATAAAGCTTGGCTCTCTTCATGTGTCCCTGAATCCCTTATTACTTTAATATGTTTCACTTAGATTCGGAAAACAGTGATAAACTAACTTTTCTTTCAAGACGGCAGTTGTATTGTCAGAGGCAGTATATTGGCATAACCAAACCAACAAGGAAAGCATTTGCAAATCCTGCCTCAAAGTGGCCCAGTTGGTTTAGCACATTAGGCACTGATACTTGACCAGAAGTAATTGTAAAAGGGAAATGACCAAAAATATGGCATCTGCTGCAGTGGAGGAGCACCCCAGATGTACCTGCAGTCTGTCCAAAACAGCAGAGGTCACAACCCCTAGGGTGTGGGATACCAGTCCATTACAAGGCACACAGACAGCAGAGGCAGAAAACAATACCATTCCCAGGACATGAGATTCTCTCCTGTAGCTTGGAGAACACTGCTGAATTCTAGCAATGCCAACTGGCGCTGATGCTGATTTAACTGTACCAGACTATTTCTGCTGCAGGCCCCTGCACACACTTTTCTGACAACGAGGTCATGCTTGCGCGTTACACTTCTTTGTTTTCACGAAGATCACTGGAGCCATCTTGTGGCTGAATTGTGGAATAACATGTAATGTCAGACAAACCATTAAACCCTCTTACTGAACTTTTAAGAAACAGTATCACTTGCATATTTAATTACATTAGACATCAGAACAGGAAACGGCGCTTTACAAACCGGAATGTTAAGTGCCGCATAAAACTAAACAACAATTTTAAACAAAACTTCACACAAATTCAACAACAGAAAACTACAAAACTACTCACATTCAAAACTAAGTCTAAAAGGTTATACCGTTTAACACACATAATATAAATCACTAACAAGAAATACAAAACTCACTCATTAACAATAAAAGCAAACACTTAAAACATTAAATTTAAGCACACTGTCCCTGCTGTAAAGTCCCCAGTTAAACAGAGCTGTAGTCAAACACTACAAACAAGCAGCACAGAAAGCAGCAAACACACATTCCTCCTTCCACAATCTACTTTTCAACCACAAGTTTCCCCGGTAGGGGGTGCACCGTTCCTGGAGATACTGCAATACCAGGTCGATGCGTGGAGTGGACGGAGCAAGCCCCTATTCCATCTCCCTGTTCCAAAAATCAATTTAATATATGGTCCCCAGATAGGGGACGTATCAGATATTAAACTGATAAGAACAGATACTACACTTGATCTTAGCCAAAAGGCCGAGAAGCGATACCCGTCGCCTCTCGAATAGACTCAGATGAACGTCCGACAAAAAAAGCCCCTTGACGGGAGTGTTGTGTACCAGCATTACGGAGTGACAGAAACACCAAAACCAGCTCCAAATGCGCTCGTTTACACAAAACTCAAATATTCAAATAGACAAGCCGGCCTTATCGAAAAGGCACCCCGATCCGGAGCACGCGTATCCCAGAATGCAACGCGGTTTCATAAGCACTCTCTCACTCTAGCCACCAAACGTCATCATTTGGCAGCTAACTCCGAATACTCCGCAACCTTAAACGCTCTTAAAGCTGTTTTTAGCTTATCCAGTGGCTGTCTCTACGTAGACAAGTAACATACACGTAAATGCGTGTGCAGGCTTGTCTCGAATTTAAATCTCACGCCAGCCAGTAGACCAAGGTTGACAACCCTGTCTATGGGATAGAAAGCTGGCCGCTGCCTTGCCTTGAAATATTGCTACTGCGTCTCTTCGGCGGACAGGAGAACGAGGCTGTGGCTGCAATGTGACAGACCTCGCCGAGGGTGAGGATCTGCGCCCCGTGAAAGTTATCAACTCTATGACCTTCAGTTCCCGCTGTCCCTCTCCGTTCACTGCAGAGAAAAATACACTTCTTCCCACTGCGTGGGGATTTCCTCACAGTGCCGGAGGTGGCCGACCCCCGCAGCCAAACTCTCACTACATGCACGCGCAGGACCGCCGACTCTCGCGCCTTCGCCGGCACGCAGGCTGCTCGAGCGACTGTCACGCTCACTCTATGCAGACGCACGTGTTGCTAATGCCGATCGATCACGTGGCCCGTTCACATTCATCACAGTTTCTCTGCTTGAGCAAGGGTGAAAGGTTTGCTTTCAACGTTGGTAGGCACCTAATCAGCCCAATGACCCTGGAAACACACGACATTACAACCGTCCATACCCAAATCTACGCCCTTCTACTTCGGATAACTACCCGTGCAACAGAAGGAAACGTTCACTGGTGCTTCTTCAAAACACCCCAAAAACGTTACACACTTCCACCTGTTAACCCAATGAATCGAGCTTCTGTTAGACCACGCTACAGGCCGGTAGCTGGCCACCAAACACACCTAGAAGACGACGCAGATACGGTTAATAAACCGCTATCCATCCAAATGTATGTTTGTTTTTTTACATCATTACAAATAAACACGCAGTGTGTCAACTTACAACCGCTCTAACAATATGTTTCACTCTCCCGGTATCTAATCGCCACGGGGCCAACGGAAAGATGCCTGCTGTCGAACTGGTATTTTTATTGCTAAAATGCACCTTGTGACCATGAGAGTTAACATTTAAAATTTAAAAAACACAACACCAGCCCAGTTGCTCACCTAAGATCTTTGTCAGGAATGTGCAGATTTATAGCGAGTCACTTTCGCGGTCGGCGTCGCACGAGGCCCACAGGCTGCGCTTCGCCGACAAGGCCGCTATCGTTTGTTTGCACCAATTAGCTTCGAATTTAATTGCCAAGCTAAAAGTAGGAAACACTTGCGACTTTTAGTTTTTCCATACAGCTATAATTTCCAAACAAACTTATCTGGCTACCGAACCGTTTGGTTTGGGAAATTCATTTGACTTAGGCCTATTATCCATTTTCCACCCCTTCCCACTTTTAACCATTTCTTTTTTATTTGTCTTTATTTAATTGCCTAGGGAGTAATCAGATTTACATTTCGCTGCCAGTTGTATCTCTGTAACCGTGCATGTGACATATAAATCTTGGGTGAGGTTCCAGTACATTTGGTTTGCGCAGTTTGTCATTCTGTGGATTTCAAGTTTGCATCCTATCAACAAATGCAACAAGAAACAGCTCGACGACACATTTTTTTTATCGCTTGAAGAAAACATCTCAAAACAGCATCTTAACGAACAAAAAGACTCCTAAAATCTTACCTCTCTCGAAATGGCCATGCAGACACCGGCGCGCACCCGACAGCGGCCGCGGTCCAGTGTAACCTTCTGGCACCTGTGGGCGTTTCGCATTTCAGCGTGACTGACTGAGGCGATCAGAAGACATGGACTCATCCAACTGCTGTTCGCCAAATTAATCGAGCTTACAAAAGACACAAATGAGTCTAAAGCAGTCTGAAACCGTTTTTTGCTAAATATCCTACCGAGGACTAGTTTTTTCTTTATTTATCTTAAATGCATAAGTTTTTGTTTACACATAGTTTTTCTTTTTACGGTACAAAGGTGTTGTGTGTATATGAATGGAATATGTTTTGTATGTGTTTATGTAATGTTTGGACCTTTAGTCTGCTAAATACAATAAATATAGTTTCTTCTGTCAAATGCGCTGAATGTCAGTAGACGGTTATGTTTGGAATTTTAAAAACTTAAATCAATTTAATTACAAACAGTTTATTGCAAGGTCAAAGGGGGCGTCGTGGACAATCCAGCGACATCCCCTCACACAGGAAGGCAAATTGCTGGGCGTTACCTACTCTCAGGTGTAAGCATGCAACTATTATTTCAAGAATGACCTAGAAAAAGTGCATAAAATCCCAATTTCATTTTACTTAGGAAGAAATAAGGTTCCACGGATATGGGGGTCGTCGCTGGGGTGGGCTACGCGATTTACTATCGATTTATCAAGGTAGCGATTATTAAAATCATGCCGGTTAAGCAAACATGTTGCTACCAAGCTAAATATACAGTTATAGTGAATAAAACATAGCTAATGAGGGGTAAATGATTAAGTACGTCTGTATAGTTACTCATGTCTAATAACAAAACATATATGTAGTTACTAATGTCTAATAACAAAAATATATATGCAGCCATTAATCTTTAACAGAATAGCTTCTAAAAGCAGAAAGGGGAATTGAGACTGGGCCTGCATGATGGAAAGATCTCATCCATGCAGGCACGTATCATTAAGAATAGAGAATGTGCACAAAAACAGGAACTCATCATTTAACCGACGCTTATTTTAATCAAGTGCTAGACAAGAGGCGGGGGACATGAACCTGCTGGCTAAAGGGCTTGCTGGCAAACTAGAGTATAACGTCAGAACATTTATATTAAGACATATACCAGATGGGTAGAACAAAGGTCAGAGTGTGTTGTGGTCACGAACAGGGGAAAGTACCGAGGAGAAAGGGGGGGGGGGGGGGTTGACATCCCACAAGGCCTATAAAGGGGCAGAGCCGATACATGTAGTTTGAGCTTAACCTTCTTGCTGTACATGCTGTATGTATGTGAGATGGGTGCTCCCTGATTGCAATCAGAATAGACAATAAACTGGTGACTTGCAACTACTCCTCGAGTGTGCAGTGAATCTCTTCTCATCAACGGACCCGGCGGAGTTAGACTCCAACAATTTGGGGGCTCGTCCGGGATGAGCAAGAGATTCCCCAGAATCCAGTTCAAGTTGACGCAGCCTGCCTGGACACAGAAAAACTGCGGGCCCGACTAGAAGAGGTAAGCAGAGCCTGTTATGCCGAAATCTGCATATTGGAAATTTCAAATTGAGCGGTTTGAAGTGTCCAGCGGCCCGTCTGTAAATTCATACAGAGAGGAGACTGCGGGTACCAGACGTATGTAGCTTTGATGTATTATGTATAAGGAATAAGTGCATCTGGTATATGTAAAATAGGATTTTAGGAAACGGAGGGTTTGGAACCCTGCCGTAGGGTAGGACCTTTAGGAGCGGAGGGTACGAAACCCCCGCGTTGTCTTTGGTGTGGCAACCCCACTACTGGCTGACGAGCGGTAGAGAAGCTGGGTGAGAGTCCCGGAGAATTCAAGACCCCCGAAATCTAAATTGGCGTGAGGGAATAAGGTCCCCCTCTATAAAATGGGTTGGAGTCCCTGGGTCGAAGTCCCAAATGTACCGGGTTTGAGTCCCGAGACTAGGAGTCTCAAAGTACTACTTTGTATATTATTGTGCTGATTTGTGAGTGAATAACGCTGTGGGCTTTTCCTGTCTTGGGTGCTTATCACTCGCTCCCTGCTGGTTTGCCTGGAATCGAGCTTGTGAGGCGCGCCCTACTCAGGAGAGACTCAGCGGTAAGTGTGCATGCAGAATCATTGTTTGTAAAGTAGTTGTTTCATGTATTGGTGGTGTAAAATAGTAGGACATCCTCCTACAATAAAGAGGTGTAGTAACTGTGGTTGGGTGAACCCACACCCCGCGGCAATAGCGCTGCTAGGAGATAAAACTGAAGGGAAAATAAGGAAAAAACAAACAAAGAAGAAGAAGAAAAAGCATTACAAATACTAAGTAAAACATAATAATAATAATAGAATAGTAATAAAATAATACTAACATAGTTGCTCCAATTAACATGGATCACGAGTTTGATCGAGAATTAGATGACGGAGGATGGGCACCTCCAAAAAATACAGTTTGGAAGCCCCTAACAAGGCAGATTCAGGTAGTGAAGGAAGCAGTGGCAGGAGCAAGCCAGAAGAAAAATAGGGAAAAAGAGGTCACAGAGGCATGGAAGCGTATGTGCGAGGCGATCCGAAGTGCAGGATGCCAAGTGGAGGGCAAATGTTCTTTGGGAGCATTATTGTGGAAAAAGGAGAGAGAGCAGGCTAGTCTCAGGGACGAAGCAATACATAAAAGAGCGAGCGCGAATTGTTTGAGGAAAAGGAAGTGGAAGAAAGAGGTAGAAATGCATGAGAACGAAAGGAGAGAGTGGTCGAGATTGGCACTAATTTGGCAGGGGACAGATCACCTCCATGGAGAGGATACGAAGGACTGTAAAAGAAGCCCCCCCGAAAAAGACACACAGACAGGCAGTGAGGATCCTCCTCCGGCATATACAGGCGAGAGAGCGTGTCCAACAGCGCCTCCAGCACATATGTGCCCCATGATTAACGTCACAGGAGGAACCCTCCACATTCGCACACAAGGCACTCGAGAGGTCTCAGCCAGTGTGCGGTGTGGGAAAAGGGAGGAGGATTCGGAAGAGGGCTCAGACGTCGAGGCTGAGTCCTCCGGTCAGAGAAAGAAAGATAGGTCGGAATCGCAGGTCTGTGCACGGGCACTGCATCAGCCGGCGTTCAGTAACAGAGTGTTGAGGGAACAGGCAGAGGATTTCGGGGAGAATGGCTTGTTCAAACCCGCCACCCCAGGCAGAGGGTTAAACCTCAGTGGTCGGAAGCAAAAGACAGTAGAGGTGGTGGGACACATATTGGGGACGTGTGACGAGACGGAGGACTCGCTGTCTGAGGAATTTGGCTACGAGCGCGAGGAGGAGACACAGGCAGCAGGACTTAGTCAGGAATATATAGCTGGAGCACCAGGTCCGTCCAGTGGTGGATACGACCTGCGCTCCAAAGGGCCTAGACTGAACACATCCTTATTGCAAGGAGCAGGAGGCGGTAGGGAAAGATATAAACCTTTCTCAATAGGGGATGTGCAGGCTTTGGCAGACAAGCTGCCTCCTCCAGCAGAGGGGGGAGGACAGTGGCTGGATAAATTGGATCAACTCACTCAAGGTCTGAAGCTGGCCCTGGGGGATTTTCGGGCAGTGGCAGCCCGATGTATGACCAAGCACGCTTTACAGGATATAGAGGCCAGGGCAGGGGTTACCACGGTTGCAGATAGTGTGCGTCTGACAGGGGTGATAATGGATCTGGGTGACGCCATGCGAGAGATGTTCCCCACCCCTAGCGGAGCTGTGGTCCCTAAGTTTACATGGGACCCTAAGCTCCACCCCAGAGACTATTTAGATAAATGTAAAGAGGATTGGACCCGTCGCACTGGGTGCCATCCAGGACAGGTCGGGGTGCAGCGGGAATGGTTCAGGCGAGCAGTAATGGAGGGACTCCCAGAGGGAGTGAAGGGGGCTATATTGGGCAACCCAGATCTCCCGGGGGCAGAATCGCACGTGTGGGACAGACATATTGTCTATCACTTGCAGAGGGCACAGGAAGAAACACAGAAGGAAGAGGGCGACCTCAAAGACTTAGTCGCAGCTGCTGAAACTGCAGGTGGGCGAAGCGAGAAAAAAGGCTAATGAAAACAAAAAGACAGGGCAGTTTCCTATATGCACAAAGTCAGGGGAGGAAATCATCATAGATTACACAGACATGCTAATTCCAGTGAGAGGGTTCAGATATGTGTTGATGTGTGTGTATGCCTTCTCGGGTTGGCCGGAAGCGTGGCCCACAAAAAAGGAGGATGGGGCATCCGTCATAAAGTGTCTGATCAATCAGTATATACCGAGACATGGGTTTCCCACCAGGATTCGGTCAGATAATGGGACCCACTTTAAAAATGAAGACCTCCAGACAGTGGAGAAAGTGTTGGGATTGAGACATGCGTTTGGAACGGTCTATCATCCGCAGTCTCAGGGAAAGGTGGAGTGAATGAACCAAACAATAAAACAAAAATTGGCAAAAATCTGTGCACAGACTAAAATGAATTGGGTTGACGCTTTACCGCTGGCACTGATGTCAGTAAGGTGTTCTATAAACAGGGGGACCGGGTTCACTCCCTTTGAGCTCCAGACAGGCAGGCAGTTCCCAGGACCCCAGAGAGGGTTATCCTGGACCCCCGATGAAAAGGGGGAGCGAAATCCGAGGGCCTATTATGATGGTTCCAAACAGATCCAGGAAACGAGACCGGGGAACCAGCCACCCGAACCACACACGGCGGAGTGGGTCCTCCTGAAAGTCATCAAACGAAAGTGGTCAGAACCCAGGTGAACCGGCCCCTTCCGAGTGACGGAGAGGACGTCACACGCGGTTCGTCTAAAAGGCAAAGGTGACACGTGGTTCCACTGGAGCCAGTGTGCAGCTGCGGAGGAGCCAGGAAGAACCACTACAGAGATCCAGAAGGACCTCGGAGAAGACACGCAGAGCGTCAGTTCGGCTGAACCAGACGCAGCTCAGGTCTCTACAGAAGGGCAGAATAATCCCTTGACCTGAGCAGATCAGCAGGGTGATCTACCCCTCGCTGGTCAAAGAAGTCATCACCTCCTCCGTCCCAGATCAACAGGACCAGGATGCAGAGTTTCAAAATGAAAAGGGGAAGAGGGGGGAATTTCAACTTATCCATAATCTTTTAAATCTCTATTACTTATTGCTGGCCCAGGATATAAAGAGTTCATTTTTTTCTTAAAAACCGTTGCGGATGTGTGGTGAATGCAGATTTAATAATTTACCATTTCAAATAAAATGGTAAATACTCATGCAGAAACTGAAGGTTACTTTCATAAGAGATTAAATTTTATATTCATAGTAAATATTATATGTATTATTATATTCATAATACATGGTCTTTACAACTGGATGCATGCTTGTCATATTTTGCAAACATTCATTAGCGTACGTTATTTATTTGCGTCCGTCCCCTGCGAGAAATAAGTGAATGAATGCCGCGTGAACGCGCTTGTCACCAGTTAACAGAATCCCCACTTTAACAACACCGGCTCGCAGGATCTTCACTGCTGAGGACCCGAGTGGCTGGACCAGGCCAAGGGGACGCCCACATAACACCTGGCTGCAGCAGATAGATGGACACTTGGGTTGAAATTGATTGCATGTCGGCCCGGTGGGCTGCTACCCAGCGTGACCTTACCTGTTTAAACTTTAGACCTACAATAAACAGAAATCTTACAATTGTCAGCGCATTAAATAAATAACGATACATTACAGACTTACTCATGATGAATCTGACATTCAAAACTGATCCATACACCTTTCAGAATTATTTTCTGTCTTTCACAATGAGAAATCTCCGCTACAAAAAACCCATCAGATTATATCTCCAGTGCTTTCATCACAGCCGGAGCGGATTCTGCGCAAATGAAAGTGTGCTTCATCCTGGCTGGATTTAATTTGGCTTGACTGGGTGTGCAGTGAAAAATCCTGGGTGACATATTGTTGAAAAATTGTGAATCACAATAAAACAAATATTTTTCCAAATGACTGTATTGCAACCATGTGTATGTTTTACATTTTTTAATTGTAATTCTTGTAATCTTATTTGGTTTTATTCGGTCCTTTCGCTTTCTTAAATTCATGTATTCACTTTAAAAGTGCTGAACCGAT